TGTTCCACCATCAAATGTCTAAAGGGGACAAGGGTGCTTTAGCATCCTCTTTCTTGGCACCCCAGAACTATGATGGCATGGTTGCATGTCTGAATGATGCAAGATTTGATGGCTGGTTTGACACTGCAGAGTTCAAGTGACATAATTCAGATGTTTCTGCTCTCGAGGTACATTTCTGATATGCAAAAGAAGCAAACTGAACAGAGTATTTTCAGATTGGAATTAGGCTAATTGTAAATTTATTTTTAAAAATCCAGATGCCGATCAGATACTGTATGTGACAATGTGAGTGTAAAAACAAAGACTGAATATATTATGTAGCATCAATGCCAGCCTGGGCGGCCCGGTGGTCGACTGGATAGTGCAGAGGTGCAGGGTTCGATTCCGGCTCCGGCCTTCTTGTGTGGAGTTTGCATGTTCTCCCCGTGCCTGCGTGGGTTTTATCCGGGTACTCTGGTTTCCTCTGTGCTTGGCACGTTAATGGAACACTCTAAATTGTCCCTAGGCATGAGTGTGAGCGCGGATGGTTGTTCATCTATGTGTGCCCTGCGATTGGCTGACAACCAGTTCCGGGTGTAATCCCGCCTACTGCCCCAAAACAGCTGGGATAGGCTCCAAATGCCCCGCGACCCGTGTGAGGATAAGCGGATCAGAAAATGGACGGACGGATGGATGGATGGATGGATCAATGCCAGCCTGACAGCCTCAAAATACACAGATGGCTGATGTACAGTATACAGCAAACGCATAGTGTACACAATTACATCAGCCATCTGTGTATTTTGAGGCTGTCAGGCTGGCATTGATCCATCCATCCATCCATCCGTCCGTCCATTTTCTGATCCGTTTATCCTCACACGGGTCGCGGGGCATTTGGAGCCTATCCCAGCTGTTTTGGGGCAGTAGGCGAGATGGACACAAAGAAAGCATGAGACAAAACAAAATCTCATCGAAAAAAGTGACCCAAAACACAGATCATGACGGAAATTTAGAATAGTGAAACATAAGTGCTGAGGTCGTACAACACACGGAACAAAGTGTTGCTGGAACTGCGGAATTAACTACAAAAAAAAATAATATGACACAAAACAATCCAACAATAACACACACAATGAAGTGACATTTTAAATTTTGCTGGACTGAATAAAAGTCCAAGTTCCAATAAATATAAAATTGCATTTAAGGATGATGCGATAAGTCTGGATAAAGTAGTCCAATAATGGCAGTAGGATGAATAACGGGGGTTCATGTAGTATGCACAAATGATGTTCATGCTCAAGAATTGGTGTCAATTCTATCTCCCATGTTATCATACAGCCTGACCTGTTTACGATTCTTTTTCTATTACCCCTCTTTTTTCTCCCCCTTTTACCATTGACACTGATCAAGCTGCTGCCTGGCCAGAGGTATAAAAAAAAGTCTAATTGTCTTCGGATCAATAGATCTGAGAAGCCACAAAGCATTTGAGGAAGCGTGTCTTCCCACAGCCATTGGTTTTAGCTACAGAGCTCTAATTAACATCGCTCGATATTGAGCGTTACTTTAAGCAATGATAAAACAACACTAGCTTTATCTCATTCTCCTTTAATTGAATCAACAGCGTAATTGACAGTTTTTTTTTTTATTTTTTTTATTCTTGCTGAACAGGACATTCGATTTCTCCCCAAGTTAGACGGCAACCTTGATGTGTAGTACAATGTGATGACCTTGACTATCAGGAAAAAAAAAAAAAAAAAAAAAAAAGCTATGACGTTCCAAACTCCAACACTGTGGACCACTGCATACCCCCAGAAGACCTCAGCATACTTAATCGCTTCAAATTTGAGTGAGCAACAATGGTGTAAACTCCATGAATGTGTTATTCCAGTTAGTGCTGTTGGAAGGATGCATAGATTGACACTGACAATAAAATAATATCAAGTATAGGGACGTATTTGATCTGCAACAGTCCTGATGCAACATTCAGGGGTTTCAAACAACACAACACACAACAAAGTAGTTTGTGCAGTGTCGTAAGAGTGTCATTATGCGGCACACGAACGCATGCCCCAGTTACTGCTGAGCTTATTGCTACTTCACGTTCAGAACCCAAAGGTTTTTTTTTTTTTTTTTTGTTGTTCTTTTTATTTTGTGTTCCACCATCAAATGTCTAAAGGGGACAAGGGTGCTTTAGCATCCTCTTTCTTGGCACCCCAGAACTATGATGGCATGGTTGCATGTCTGAATGATGCAAGATTTGATGGCTGGTTTGACACTGCAGAGTTCAAGTGACATAATTCAGATGTTTCTGCTCTCGAGGTACATTTCTGATATGCAAAAGAAGCAAACTGAACAGAGTATTTTCAGATTGGAATTAGGCTAATTGTAAATTTATTTTTAAAAATCCAGATGCCGATCAGATACTGTATGTGACAATGTGAGTGTAAAAACAAAGACTGAATATATTATGTAGCATCAATGCCAGCCTGGGCGGCCCGGTGGTCGACTGGATAGTGCAGAGGTGCAGGGTTCGATTCCGGCTCCGGCCTTCTTGTGTGGAGTTTGCATGTTCTCCCCGTGCCTGCGTGGGTTTTATCCGGGTACTCTGGTTTCCTCTGTGCTTGGCACGTTAATGGAACACTCTAAATTGTCCCTAGGCATGAGTGTGAGCGCGGATGGTTGTTCATCTATGTGTGCCCTGCGATTGGCTGACAACCAGTTCCGGGTGTAATCCCGCCTACTGCCCCAAAACAGCTGGGATAGGCTCCAAATGCCCCGCGACCCGTGTGAGGATAAACGGATCAGAAAATGGACGGACGGATGGATGGATGGATGGATCAATGCCAGCCTGACAGCCTCAAAATACACAGATGGCTGATGTAATTGTGTACACTATGCGTTTGCTGTATACTGTACATACAGCCGGCGCATTTACTACCTTCATCATCGTGACCTCATATATCTCATACTGCGGGTATCTCATAAATTTATGTCCGTACGTGATGTAAATATACGTGGCTACTACATAAAAATTGGGCGCTTCAACTTGTAGCACAGTGTAAATTCAGCTCCTGTGTCAAATAAGTCACAGCTCACCATTGACTGAATACTGGAGGAAAAGCTGAAACTGACTGCCAGCTGAAGGCAACATTACAAGCCTTTAACAAATCATGATTATGCCCATGAATAAATGATCTCTAACATTAATATAAATGACAACTTTGAATGAGGACAGCGTTTTGGAGACACTTAACTGATTTTAGCAGCTCTGTGTCTCATCTGTAGCCAAAGTAGATAAACATGGAGGCGCTTCATATAGCAGGCTGCGTGTTTCTCAGCCTAACACAAACCAGATCTGCTGTGATTTATCTTGAGCGGTGTTACGAGGCTTTCCTGGAGAAGAGGTCAGCAAGGTTCACAGCAGACAGCTACCTTATCGGCCTCATCCCCGGTGCAGGGTATTTTGGATTTAACTTTTTAAAAATAATTTGCTGCTTCCAGGGCTCACTCACAACAGGCAAGAGTTCATGAGTGTGTTTACAATAGGGCAGATTATTTTCCATAGCGGCTTGTGGGCTTCATTTATGTGTTGTCAAATCTTTTGTGGAGCCATTCCCCACCGTATTAAGTGTTTTGTTTTTTTACTCCTCCACATGCAAAGTGAGGTTTACATTTAAAAGAAAAATAATGTTGCACTGATTGCAAAGCACGGCGTGACTTGCTCAGCATGCCATTTAAGAGTTGAAACAGTGAACTCTAATTCGGCTCTGGGAAAATAACAGAGTAACAGAACCAACATTTCACCTACTTTTTCTTGGCTTGGATGAAGACAAGCGCGGTTTGAGAAAAATACGTTGCTATTGTTGCAGGGAATTGATTAGTCCCCTTCTTTTGGGTGGACCCTCAAAAGTCAAAATATATAATTCAGGGATTTATGAACATATTTGGGAAGAATTTCCCGATAAATCTGCAGAATTGTGGTCTTAAAGTTTTATGTGTCTCAATGTGCTATTTGTCTTACGGTGCTATTTTAGAAACCTGTTTTGGGACGACGGCTGAAAACTAGCATTTATGCTAAGTCCGGCGCATTTACATTATTTATTGTTGTGTTGATTAATGTGCACTGTCCCAATTAAATAAATAAATAAATGAATGAATGAATGAATGCTTACATTTCAAAAAAAAAAAAAAAAAAAAAAAAAAAGCTATGACGTTCCAAACTCCAACACTGTGGACCACTGCATACCCCCAGAAGACCTCAGCATACTTAATCGCTTCAAATTTGAGTGAGCAACAATGGTGTAAACTCCATGAATGTGTTATTCCAGTTAGTGCTGTTGGAAGGATGCATAGATTGACACTGACAATAAAATAATATCAAGTATAGGGACGTATTTGATCTGCAACAGTCATGATGCAACATTCAGGGGTTTCAAACAACACAACACACAACAAAGTAGTTTGTGCAGTGTCGTAAGAGTGTCATTATGCGGCACACGAACGCATGCCCCAGTTACTGCTGAGCTTATTGCTACTTCACGTTCAGAACCCAAAGGTTTTTTTTTTTTTTTTTTTGTAATAAAAAATATTTAATGTAATTTTGACTGACAGTAAGTCACCTTCTGTTTCATTACAAATGATGGCAGGGACACAACTCTGGCACTCCTCCCCCTCTGCGTGGTCATCTTTTATTGTTGTTATTAACAGCAGTTGACTTTTCATATTTATCAGTTAAAAATCTAAAATACTATTGAAAACACTGCTTATACAGTTAACGTTTTTTTTATTAGGATGACAGTTTGGCCCTGGAACGGATGGAAAAAAAAAAGTCCATTCATATTTGACCAAATATTAACTCCCTTCAACAGAACAGATGATGTTTGACCTTGAGGTATTTCAGTGTGTCTAGATCCACCCTTTAGCTACAGATAACTTTATTTAGTACCTTACACTTGAAATGAATCCATATCAACCTAAACCAAACGATACTACTTGGTGGAAACAGAGCTTTAACGACTCACCTTAGTGTCGCCCATGCTCTCCGACTCAGACACCTGGTAGGTGAGGTCCGTCTCCTCGAAGCCTGTCGCACTCATGCGTTGGTCTGTGGAGGGGTCAGAACGTGGCGGCGAGTCCGGCGAGTTGAGGCACGTTTGGATCAGCGCTTTGCCCGTTTCACTGGTGATCATGGGCTGGAGTTTACGGGTGGCGAACGTGTAGACGTGACCCGTTTCGCTGGCCACGAGCAGTAGAACTTGGGTTCCGGTCAGCGTGGAGAGCTCGTAGGCCTGGTGAGAACAAACCGGTTACAAGTTACCACTCACTGAAAGCGGCATAACATGCATCTTCAAAGAGTATTGTAAAAAATGACAAGGGGATGCACTAGTACTAGGAGATCCCAAAGTTGAACATCAGGAACAAAGAACATAGTCAAGAAAACATTGCTAAACTAAAAATAGCCTGGTGTGACGTGTCGTGCAAATGAAGCCAAAATAACATAAGATAAGGCTTCCAGAATAGATCATGTGATAGCGTTGAGAGAGTGATTGCAGCAGGGCCACACAAAAAGGGGGAGTGACACTGGGCCGGCCCGGGGACAGGATGCCATTGGCTGGAAACCACGAGGTCACCAGCGCACTCTGCATTATTGTGATACAAAGTATATAATGCAGCATGCAAACGCTCAGCCCCCCCAACGCAACACACACCCGAGATGAAACACGGCAAGGCTGCACTCACAATGAACTTGTGAAGAAGCCTTTTTATCGAAATGAGTCATCACTTATGTGGAGGATGTGTGTGGTGCTGCCAAGGCACCGAGCCGTCGCCATCACCTCGGTACACTCAGCGTGAGCCAGAGCTGCAGTTAGCTGATAGAACCTAAATTGTTTTATTACGCCGTAATGGAAGCATGCAATCGAGCATGGTGCTTTTTAACATTGCAATGATGTAATGATACCAGCGCAGTTGGCTCAATGATCGCCACCGCGTGGGCACATAAATAAAAAAGCCACTGGAGCCCAGCAACTACGAAGAAGCAGAGAAGATGCAGGAGGGTGAAGCGGGCGGCTCTTATTAGCTCTGCAATGGCGAGGGAACAGTGTCAAACAGCCGTGATAGAAAATGACTAATTTGTCAGTTTGATGATGCTTCGATCACATTACGAGATAGACACTGACTCCAACATGCACCAGTCTCCTCATATATCATCACAACTGCAGGAGGTTGAGGGGGGTCAAATTTAGTGGCTCGGTTGCCACACAACTTTTTAGACACTTGCCCATAAGGAGATGCGACTCATTTATCATATACAATTAATAATATAAGAGAGAAGTCAATTGTATTTTATGAAGTGAAAACTCAGCGAATGGGCAGATATACTCGAAGGTCAAACAAAATGAGTCCAGATTTACAAAGATGCCAAAGAGCAAAGGCCTAATTGCATGTTCACTAATTCTTACAAATTGTGTGCATTGTTGGCACGAAGAGTATTTGGGGGTGGGGGGGTCCATAGAACACTGCAAGCACAAATTCAAGTTTTCAGTGATGGAATTGGACGCGCTAGTGGAAGACAACGAGAAAAGATACTGCTCACTTTGATAATTTTGACAAAGCCAGAAAATTGATTTAAAAAAACCATCTTGTGTTTTTTTCAAATCATCCTGAATATTATATTTAGACACAAGAAGAAAAAAGAAAAGAAGCTGCTGTGTTACATCGCTCCTGAATGGTCCAGTGACCGTCTACAAAGTAATGAATAAGAAATAAAACAACACAACAAGAAATCCCATTCACTGTGGTCTACTTTCCCCCCCAAAATGACTGATATTTAACAATAAGTAATAACAATAAGTAATACTAATAGTAACTAATCTATAAGCAACTTTTGACCCCTCCGGCATTTCAGACAAAACTAAGATCACATTCAGACTGTTCAGGTGTACCTCATGGGGTGGCCAGTCAGTATAATTGGTTCTGTAACATCACTTGCATGTTGCTAAAAATACAACTGATTAAAACAACTTAGCGGGTAAAAACACAGCATATTTATTGAGAGCGGTATGTATACAGTATTACCAGACATAAAGGTGGAACTTAAAGACATTATATCAGCTTTGGAAATTTGCCTCAAGTATGCCAAATCAAATTACTTGTGCTAAATTCATTTATTTTCACAAACTCGTCCCCTCTCTGGATGCACAAAATGTTCCATGTAGCAATTTTGCAAGTTTGGCAGTTACAAACTTGGTAGCGCCAGGTTAGTAGGTCAGCTTTCACTTCTATTTTCATGAGCAATCAAGATTGTGCCGTTTTTCTACATGCAAACGTTGAGTAAATCATGCCCACTAAGTTCAGGGAACACAGTCCAGCTAAGATGGGAATTCACATACAAAAAGGTCAAGTTGCAACAGGAACAGTGACGTGCCAGACAGCTCATTTTACATGTAAAAACAAGTTAACCACTGCAAACCACCAAAGCAAGAAGCATTAAACTCCAAGTTTGACAACAAGTGACATCGCACATGACGACGGTCAAATATTTACGGACAGCCGGAATTAGAAAAAGACAAAACATTTGACACTCACTGAGCTGACTTGAGAAGATGATGTTTGCACAAGTGTGCCATGTACCTGAGGCTGCCCACAATAAAAGGCCAGTCTAAAATATTCCGTTTTTCACACTGTCGCATATGCTGATCAGAGCATCTCAAACATGCTCAATGGGTGACATGTGTGGTGAAGCAAGCAGACCATGCAAGAACTGGGATGTCTTCAGCTTGCAGGGATTGGGTACACATGAGGTGATGGTCATGGATGAATGGCACGACAGCCGACGGGCCTCAAGATCTTCTCAATGCATATCTGTGCATTCAGAATGCCATTTAGAGTGTGTTCATTGTCCATAACATACACACGTCCATACCTGAACCCGACTGCCACCATGAGCTGTGCGATGGACTTCAAGCATACAGAGGAGCTTCCATGAGATGGTTTCTGGCAGATTATTATTATTATTATTTTTTTTTGCTCATGAAAACCATATTGTTGCGACAGCTGTCCCAGTGGCTGGTCTTAGATGATCTTGCAGGTGAAGATGTTGAATGTGAAAGTCACAGACTGGTGTGATTGTCAATGAGGCCGTTATAGACGTACTGGATAATTCTCTGAAACACCTTTGGAGATTTCGTTAAGTAGAGAAATGAACATTCAATTCAGGGGCAACAGCTCCAGTGGAAATTGCTGCGGTGGGCACTCCTTCAAACTTGCGACATCTGTGGCACATTTTAGAGCGGTCTTTTATTGGGGGCAGCCTTAGGAACACCTTTTGCAATTATCATGACATCTAACCAGCATCTTGATTTGCCACAGCTGTGAGGTGGATACATTATTTCAGTAAAGGAGATTTGAACAAAAGTTGAGCAAAGTAGGCCTTTTGTGTATGAAAAAAGGTTGTAGAACATGCAAGTTGTTGAAAGAAAAAAGCTTCAAACAGAGGAGGAAAAAGCAACATGAAAAACAACCAGACAACTGGCATCCTTGTGAATGATTTGCAGTCCATTGTGTTGGGCTGAAGGAAGTCCTCTTTTTGAAAAGAAAAAAAAAACCCTTCCAAAATCCCAAGAAAAAGCAAATCCCAGATTCAATCGTCGTCTTTAACATGACATCACGCAGGAAGGCAGTTTACACTGAACTTTTGCAACTCTAGTATGAGGACATTGCAACCAGCTATTGCAGCGCGGTGTGGGCCCTGCATTATCAGCAGTGCTTGAGTGACAGCCACACAGCAGTCAAAATTAAAGTGCTTTGCACATTGTCTGAATCTTAAAAACAAAGTTTGAAAATAAGATGCATTATCGTTTCCACTTAAGGCAATTGAAGACTATGACAGTTGCGGTGGGGGATATTTGGGTGTAGAAAAGTCAGTGACTTTGTGACTCTGCGAATGAATGAACACACGCAACTGCTGTTGACAAAAGGGGAACTCAGTTGCTAATGAAGCAAACTGCCACTTGACAAACAGTAAGAATTCCCGTGTCCTTAATCCATAGAGGGGAGATGCCACAACACATGCTTCAAAATGAGACTAACCATCTTGATCTTGAAAGTAAAAACAAACACTTTGAGACCTCTTTACCGTATATTGGATATTTAGCTTTATCTTTATGATCTGCACACTTTTAAACAGTCGGTCCACACGGCGTGTCAAATGATGTTCACGTTTCCAGGAGCCTACATAAAGAAGCCTCAGTTTCCACGACAACGATCTGAGATGCATAGAAGACGAGGGGGGGTGAAAAAAAAACAAGTGAAATGCAGCAGGAGTCTACACTGTGCATGTAAGCTAAAAAACAACAGCATCAAGATGATTTCTGTGATAGCTGCACTTGACTCCATGCAGAACTTCTATGTTGTTGAGAGTGGCGGACAACTGAATGTCATACCAACGCACAGAGCCCATGAAGGCATGCACAAGCAGCCTCCGCGCTATCGGCGTGTCCTCTGGTTTGTGCGTGTATGTCTCTGGGGTTTAGTCAGCTGTTGGCACATAAAGGGCCTTGCCGCCGCTTTGCCCGCCACATGGCCGCCGCCTGCGAGCAGCGTGCCGCCTTGGTGGCACTTGGAACAGCCTGTGCACCGAGGGCTGTCCTGGCAACCGCTCACTGCATGAGGTGCTCCGTTGCTCTGTTTTACTATCACATGAGGTCAAAAGGATGCATCAGAGAGGCAAAGTTGATAGACGTTACGGGTGAGTTCTAAACCATCATGTGTGAAGCGACTGTATGTGAATGTGTGTGATAGTTGGGGGTTGCCATGGTCATAAATAGAAGTGTCATTATGCCCATGTCTATTTGAAACCCGTTCCTTGTCATGCACCCGCTTACATAATATTTCAAAAACATTTCCTACTGATCACTTCCTGGGTTTGAATATTAGGTTAGCTCGTCTGCCTCACACTTCTGAGGGTCAGAGTTTGAATCTGGATTGCGATCTTCCTGTCTGGAGCTTGCACATTCTCCTTGTGTTTGTGTGGGCATTCCCTGGGTACTCAGGTTTTCTCATTCATTCCAAAAGCATGCAAGTTAGGTTCTGTGAATACTTTAACCACTGAAGTTAAGTCCTCTCATGAAGAGATGCATGAATTAATCCAAAATGTCGACACACCTGCACAATGAAACAATAATTATGCCCTTACAATGGTCATCTATTGACTTTCATGACGCTTGGCAGGGTAAGGATGGGTCTTATCTCAACAAAAGTAATCGCCAAAATATCTGACAGAGACTCTCAGCGCAGTTTTACACTGGTGCAAACTCCACCAATACAGTAAACTGACCAATTCAAAGACGGATCAATGTATCTTTAGCTAAAACTCATACAGGGGTGTCCCTTGGTGCAGGCGTAGTTAATGGCGTATTTGCATATGCCAGCACGGGTGACACCTGAAAACGACTGCAGCATACGATGTTGTGACTCACCTTCTTCATAATGCCAGTCTTCCTCTTGCTAAAAGTGGTGTAGCGTCTCAACTTGTTGTCAATAAATTCCATCTTGATCTTGACGCGACCACGTGTCTTCTTCCCCGGCTTGGCCCCCGCGACGCCTCCGGGAACCAGGCCGTACCCTCCGGGAGCGCCTCCGACCTCCTGGCCCGGGACAGCGGCTTCCATCTCGGTTCTCTCCCGCTTCACCCCTCTCCTATTGTCCCCGAGCGAACCCACCGGGTCGTCGTCATCCCCAGAGTCCGAGTCGTTGTCCGAGCCGCTGCACAGAGGCACACTCTCTCTATCCGGGTCGAACCTGGGTCCGTGAGGCAACACGATCCCCGCGTTGAGACCCACCATGCCGCCTTGGATGGCGGCCTGAAGTGGGCTAACCCCGGTCCCGTTCCCAGACCTCACACCTCGTGGACCCCCCGGACCGTTTGCCCCCAACATCCCGAGCGCCTCTCTGGTTCCGTGTCGCCCAGCCCCGCTCACGCTCTCCCCAAGCCCGACTGAAGCTTGCCCTGTTCGGATCAAGACGGGACGATTCCCGCCACCGACAGAGGCCGAACCGAGCCCGACGGTACCTCTCGATGAAGCTGACGCGTTTCCCTGTGGTGCCGACCCAACCTGGCTCGGTAACATTCTACTGAGTAGCGCGACTGTGTTTGACGCCAGCCCACAAAGCTGGAGCTCGTAAATGACTGACAAAACGCATGCACGGCCGGGTCACAGAATGTAAACAAAGCGGCAGGGTTGGCGTTTCGACAGAGTCCGGGAAAGAAGGGAAACAAACTTTGAGAAGCGATGCTGCCCACTGGACCTTCGTAAGGCGCCACTGTTCACTTCGCCCTCCTCTAATGTCCAAAAACTCTCAGCACTTTCTCAAAAAGGAAAAGGCGCAAAGCGCCCGCCATGTTGGTCCGCCATAGCACGTAGTCCATCTTGTGAACTGAAACCAAGGCAAACGCTGACTAGCTAGTGACCTAATAATACTCCGATGTCCATCAGTAGCACAATGTGCACCGTTTCGTATTTCAGAATGGACGACTAATCAATATTTCAGGTCAGTGTTTACTCTTGCGGAGTAATATGACAGCAAAGGAACTACTTTCCTCCTTATAAAGAGATACTGTTTCCTTATATGGTGTCGTCGCTCCTTATTTGGTGAGTCACAGTGGTGTCTCCCGATTGGATGAGGCTTATCACAGGCGTGTAGCTATTGGTCGCAGTGGTGCTCATTAGCATAAATACCAACATGGTTGCGCTACCGACAACGTCATTCTGGCAGAGGCACCAAAATAACGAAACGTTCAAGTTTTGTAGCCTACCCACCATTGGCCCGACCTAGCAGTTGAAAATAATACTGACGATTAGTTTAAATTTATGTGACTCTATAGTTGAATCAACTGTATTATAAAATACAGCATACATGAGTGTCTTCAGTTATTGTGTATGAAAATGTATAGGCAATTGGTCAACGTGGATATTTTATCGTGTCATTTTATAAAGAGGTCTCATAGTTTTGCCAATCAAGAAGTTTCTGACTAATGATCTTAAATGAGACAAAGCCTAATAAGCCAGAACCATAAATAACCTCCATGCATAAAAAACAATCAATCAACATTAGTCAGTTAAATGGAGTAGAGTTGATATAGTAAGGCATACTGTTTAAGTAGATATTCTCTTTTAAATAGATATTCTCAATTATTTGAACTCTGACATGAAGATTGCGGAATCAAACCACAGAAAATAATGAAGCATTACATCATCACAAGAAATGAAAAGTTGGATTTGTTTTCAGGAGGGCAGCGCCACTTTTGAAGAGTCTTTTGCCAAACAGCATGGCCAAGATGATCCCAAAGAAAGTCAAAACACATATCGCCCCCCAGTGGTACGTTAAGGAAATGACATAGGTAAGGCTGCTGGAAGGAAGGCAGGGAAATAAATGCCTTGTCTTCTGAGCAAACCGTCTGCCATGTCTGCTTATATAATACATTGTTTTCTTTTATTAGGTCATGGCAGTACGATTTACTACATTATAATCCACTGATATAAGAATGCAGGCTTTTTTTTCTTGTTGTCACTGATAGCCGTTTACACAAGTGCTTTAAGAGTCAGTTTGCTGAAATATGAAGACGTATTCCCTTCAGAATTGTGCACTAGCGGCGGCCAAGAGAATTTGTCATGAGCTCACTTCACATGTTGCACCATTTTAAAGAGGGACTCCGATGAACAACTACACATTGGATAAGAACTCCCACCAGACTGACTTAATGTAACCTGCAATAGACGTGTAATAGAATATGTAAAATGTATTAAAAGAGATGGGTTGAAAACCCTGCCTTTAAAAAGATGTGTTCTTGTCTTAATAGTTTGCCGTGGTTCTATTTCTATTACCCAAATTTAACTACCGTACTGTATAGGGTGGGTGAAAATTAATTAGACATTAAAAAGTGGTAAGCCACATTCCTATGACAAATGTATTGAAACAATGCACGTTTTTTTTTACAAGATTCTAAAATGAAACATAAGACAATACAGTATAAGACGATAAAATAAAGTACAGTAATCTGCTATATTAGCTCCTGCACAATCCAGTGACCAGACATTCAGAAGTAAGGAATAAGAAATAAGACAATAAGAAATGCCAATTAGTGTTGTCTGTTTCATATGTATATTTTTCAAAATGGCTTGATATTAAACAATTAGCGTACTAATGTATAAGCAATTCCTAATTCTTTGTTATATCTCATCCCTCCTGCATGTCAGACAAACCTAAGATCACATTCAGACTGTTCAGGTGTGTTTCATTATGGTGTGGCCAGTCAGTATAATTACTTTTCTTAGTCACTTGCAGGTTGCTAAAAATACCACTGTTTAAAACAACTAATCAGGTAAAAACACTGTGAACCTTTATTGACAGCAGTCAATATACTTGTGTATATATCCATACATAATGGTGGAATTTCGCTGAAGCAGTTTTTTTTAAGTCTACATGTGAGTGTCTAGCATTCGTAGAAACATTACACTAACACACCGTAAAAAAACAATTTTATGAACAAAAGCATTTGAGTCATGTAAAAAAAATTAAAAAAAGAATTTAAAAAAAGAATAAAAGTGAAGCATTTTTCAATAATCCTTCATTTACCAGGCACTTAAGTACTGGTGACCAGCAGTCACCCTTTTGACCATCTTTTTTTGTACTTTATGTTAGCATGTTCGCTGCTAGGCCAGGCTATACACACACTGAGCTGGATCATGACAACAAACGTATAGCACAAGTACAAACCCCAATTCCACTGAAGTTGGGATGTTGTGTTGAACATAAATAGAAACAGAATAAAATGATTTGCAAATCATGTTCGACCAATATTTAATTGAATACATTACAATGACACGATATGCAACGTTCAAACTGATCAACTTTATTCTGTTTAGCAAACAATCATTAATTTAGAAATAGGATGAACATGATTTGCAAATCATTGTATTGTTTTTATGCATTGAATACAACGTCCCAACTTCATCGGAATTGGGTTTGGACCTAAGGGTTTCCTACTATAAACCAATATAAAACAACAAACACAACACAGGACCTTCATTATAAATAAACAGGCACCTGCATGGAGACAAAGAGGGATGTTTTCGGTGAAGTTAGTGCAAGGCCTCTAACATTATGTACACTGGTCCCCCTTTTGCAACATTGCACACAGAAACAAACGGGCGCAGAGGGCAATTGTGACTGGACCTCTGCAAAGAAGCATGTCGCAAGTTAAACATACTCGGAATTGATTTCTGCCATTTGGACACCATCACAAGTTTACATGTTAGGATGGTGCACCGGGAGCACGCACCTCAAGGTTAATACAAGAACAAAACACACTCATTAAAATATACAAAATCTCCATTGGAACAGTCTTACCATTACTTGGGTGAATACTAAAAAAAGATCCTTTTTTTTTCTTCATCATCGTAACAGGCTCGTTTAAAAAAAAAAAGTCAGCTCATGTTGAACATCACAAGTGTAACAGTTACACACCTTCATGCAAACAACTGCACATTTTGGAAATTACAGAGTCCCCACACACGCACGCGCGTGCGCACACTTCGCACATCCATATGGCTGGAGGTGATGACTAGGGCTGACTGAGGATGCAGCTGAGTGGAGGATGGGTTCAAAGACAGATGTTGGTTTGGAGCCACTTAAAATGGATACTTTGTTTGACAGATTGTGCTTGGCTGGTTCGGATTTGATCTGGATGTGTCTGTGTGTGTGCGCACAAATAGAGGCACCGAGTTCGTGAAAAATCTCAGAGTTCACACAGATGGGAAGTTGAACTGGGTGATCATCCATGTTGCGTTTAAGGCAAACTAAATTCACGGCGCTAGCCCCAAGTAGTCATTCAATATTTAAAAAAAAAAAAAAAAAAAAAAAAAAAGAAGAATGAGCGTGCATCCACTGAAATGGCAAACTCCTCCACACCTGTTTTCTAAAATGTCTGAAATGCATATTTAAAACTCTTGTTCCCTGAAATGTCAGACATTGCTGTCTTTATTGGTAGGGGAAAGGGCGTTCCCCTTTTTTGATGTCTCACACTTTGCTGTCAGAGGGCGGCTCTCCCAGGCTGTGGACGATGTCACTGAAGGAGGGGCGCTCCTTGAGGCTGGGGGCCCAGCAGCTGACCATCAGCTTGTACATTTTGGAGGGGCATCCTTCTGGGGGGGGCAGCTTCAGCTTGCCGGTCTGCAGGCCTGCAAGGGGAAGGGGCCACACACAGGGGATGATGTTTAGATTACATTAGATAGCGGGTTGAATAGACAATTACGGCTGTGTAAATATCAATCTATCCATTTTCGATGGTTTTTGTCCCCATTAGGGCCGTTTTAAAATATAAGTAATGGAAAATAACGAAATACATTTAATGATGTGTCTAACCCTGAGAGCACAACAATAAAACCATGAAGAAAAAAAAAGCTTCATGTAGAGTATGCAGATAGGTAGAAGTAATATCACAGTGGTACAACGTCACAAAAACAAAGCCGATACCAACCTTCCAGCACTTCGTTGTCTCCAAGTTTGGTGTACGGCATTTCCCCGTGACTGAACACCTCCCACATGAGCACGCCGAAGGCCCAAACGTCAGACTTGGTGGAGAAGTCGTCCTCAAACACAGACTCTGACGGGAGCCAGCGCAGGGGGATCCATGCTTGTCTGTAGTGATAGTACTCACTGTACACGCACAAAGAACAAGCACCGTTAGCAGTCATGACACCGACATCAGATTTTTGGTACTAATTTGTCTGACCTTTTGTAAACGTCTTTGCTGAGGCTGAGCGATGACACTTTGACGCGTCGCTGACTGCTGACAAGGCAGTTTCGGGCTGCCAAGTCTTTGTGAACGAAGCGATGATTGGACAGATGCTCCATCCCGTGAGCGACTTGGGCACAGATGGACACCTGCAGAGAGGAAAGTTTCAAGCCTTTATTTGATGTGGCGCTTGTGATCACAGTGTACATGTCGATGACAAAATACTTTGAACCAGTAACTGTAAGATTCAAATTATTGACAGTTAACGTGGGGTGCCATTTTCTATTCAATAGATTACAACTGGCGGCCCGGTGGTCCAGTGGTTAGCACGTCGACCTCACAGTGCAGAGGTACCAGGTTCAATTCCAGCGCTGGCCTCCCAGTGTGGCGTTTGCATGTTCTCCCCGTGCCTGCGTGGGTTTTCTCCGGGTACTCCGGTTTCCTCCCACATTCCAAAAACATGCATGGCAGGCTGATTGAACACTCGAAATTGTCCCTAGGTGTGAGTGTGAGTGCGGATAATTGTTCGTCTGTGTGTGCTCTGCGATTGGCTGGAAACCGGTTCAGGGTGCCCCCTGCCTACTGCCCGAAGACAGCTGGGATAGGCTCCAGCACCCCGCGCGACCCTTGTGAGGATAAAGCGGAACGGAAAATAAAAGGATGGATGGATGAATGGATAGATTTCAACTGAATATGTGCAGTTATTAAAAAACTCACTTACCTTAACTGATGATCATACTTCATTTCACTTTATTTTATGTTATTGTAAGGTGCATGTCAGACCTGTATGTCTTTTATATAATTTTATGGACCGAGTTGTTTATTTATGTCATTTTCTTTTTAATTGTGGCCATGTTCCATCTTGAATTTTATTTTCCTCAACTACTTTACCTTTAAGTGATGATCATTTTTAATGTACATTTATTTCAATTTCATGTTCCTCTGTCTGGTTAGATTGTGAGCTGAGCTGACGTAATTTTTTTATTTTATGGGTGTAGCAAGTGTATTTTTTTTATCATTTTATTTTTTAAAATGTTCTTTATGTTTTGGTTTTTGGAAGACCTTTTTAATCAAATTGAAGGCATCAAATTTACTGGTAGTAGCGTTTAACAATGCAAAGTACCTACTTTAGCCACACTCAACAAAATGAAACATTGACTTTTTTTTAATCAACTTTTATCTTCCAAGTGTCACTTATGAGAGGCAGTTTTAAGGATCAAATGTGAGTTTTCAGGAAAATTGGGGTCAAAATGTTTAACCCGAACACTTACTTTGGTCTTGGTGCTGAGAGGCTGAGATTTCACTTTCTCGTCTTTGTTTTTGGAAATCCTCAGGAACTGCTTTAAATCTCCCTGGTTTGACAAAAGCGAGAATACGTTTAAACACAAGTGAAGCAGAAAGTCCTCCTGGACCATCGACTAGTTTCTTTTAGTTAAGCGTACCAGGTCGTAGTACTCCAGAACCATGTAGTGGGGCTCGGCCTCTCTGCACAGACCCAGCAGGCGGACCACGTTGGGGTGGCTGAGCTTGCCGAACATTTCCGCTTCCCGCCGGAAGTCGAGCTGAAGCTGCTCGTCTCGAGTCTGGAGGCTCTTCACCAGCACCACCGTTTCCTCCTCCCTCTCGTCAATGCCCTTGGCTTTGGACAGCAGCACCTCGCCAAACTCTCCTTTGCCTGCATCGCACGTCACAGTGTGCTAACCGCAGCAACAGCAGCTTGCTTTCTTCACTGTTTGCATCCAGCAAGTGAACTTAAGTTACCTAAGGTAGTGATCGTCTGCAGGTTTGCTCGGGGGAAGTGCAGCTTGTCGCTGTTAACGTGGCTGTGGCGCTTCTCGGTTGTTGCCATGGTACCCATGTTGGTGAGTGCCACCTCTTCTTGGATCTCAGTGGTGGTGTGGCCATTTTGTTGAACAGCCCCTCCTTGACAGACGCAACACATTATGGCTATGACAATTTCAAAACGTTTTCGAAAAAATGTGGGAACTCTGATGAGTGCAGTCATGCAATATGAAGAAGTTTGCATTATAGATATGCATACTGTATGTACAGTATAAGTAAGAACAATGGGAGAGTGTAGCATACAAGTAACATCAAAGCATGGACATTTGTCACCTACAGGGATCAATGACGTTACTGCTTCAGGCCCAAATTTCTCAAGGGGACACAATGTAATGAGATCCTTCTTAAGCAACACAAATTACAACTTGATCTAATATGGTTTCACATATGAAAGGGAAGCTTTTCATGTTTAGTTTTAATTGCTGTCAAGAGCGAAACCTGGGTCAAAGCTGTGGTTTACCAATACAGCTTCATCTGGACAGCTGATCCTCAACATGTTTCGATGGTAATGAATATGTTACAATGAACTTATTAATTTTTATTTTTAGGAGAAGTGGTTTGGAAAATGAATGGATGGACATTCTATTCTTTGATTTTTGACAATAACATCATTGTGTGGAAGAAACCCATCACGTAGGATAGGTGGATAAACATACACGAGAAAGCAGGGGAAAAAAGACACTGATGAAAACAAATCCCCATACAGGTGCAACGGAAATAAATACCGTAAGAAAGGAAATTGATTTCAGTCGGTCGATTTTATTCAACTGAACTAGATAAATTTATCACTCCATAAAATTGTAATTCATTGAACTTCATCAGTGTATTATGACTCCAATAGACTTAATATTTTCTTTTCACTGGAGTTCACAGAATGAACACAAGATGGCGGCAAACACTTTCAGGTTTCAAATCTGAAGAAAATGAAGAGGAGGAAATTCAGAAATTGCCAAACATCTGTATGCCTGCACCCCAAGAAATCTATTATGCTTTGAAAATGTGAAAGAGTAGCACTTTTACCTTATTCTCTGAGGAAAGAGTAATGTATACAGCAAATTCCAACAACAAAAGCCAAATCTAAGTTTGCATTTTCCAGTGCAATGCTTTATACCCCTGTTTGAGAAGGCCTGGCGTAATAAAACAACAAAGGTCGAAACATTTGTCTCTATCATAGAGGCATACCATTGAGGCACTCCATCTCTGGCTCCTCTCCATCTGGACGTTTGTGCTGCCTTTTGGCGTTGCGCCTCTTTTTGCAGTAGAACATGAGGCCGAGCACCACGATGATGTATGCCACAGCCGCCCCCACAGACAGGCCGATAGTTTGAATCATCTTGTAGGGCGCTCTGTCCTCGTCCTCGTCATGCGTCTGGGCAGGTTTATCTGTGGGGTGCAGACATCAATAATAAATAAATGAAGTCCCAGAGTAGCCAATCTCCATTAATTTTATGTGAGCAAAATATCAAAATCCATTTGTCTCTTAAGAATCTATACTGGAGCATTATCCTCTTATCTGGTGGAAATTGGGAGTGGGAAGTGTGACTGTATTTGCGTTTCTCTAACAGACAATTTTAATGAAAGAGTGACTGTATATTGAAGCTTCAGACAACATACAAGAGACAAAACGGTATTAGATCTACCTGCCCAGTTCCATCACCCCACTGACAGCTGTAGTGGAACACAAGTAGCCATGATGTTTAACCTGCCAAGGTGGTTGGCAGGAGGAGTATTTGGAAGGCTTACTGAGTTGTCCCTTGTGTCCACTGTGTTCGTGTGTGCGCGCGTGTGTGTGTGTGTGTGTGTGTATATATATACGCAACTTACCAACGACATACAGCTGAGCCACGCGGTCTTGGATGCTGCAGCTGTTTCCAGCCACACAAGTATATCTGCCTGTGTTATCTGTTGTGACGTCTGCAATCACAAGGGAACCATTGGGCATCTTCTGGATCCTGAGAGATGGAATGACAATTTTGAGGAAACAATCTTTTGCACCATTCTAAAGGATCCTGTTAACTTTCAATCCATTGCATTCAGATCAACTATTTTTTTTTAAAAATGGAGATGGGTGTATTGAAACAGCGAGTGGATAGTGGGGTGTACTGTGTATGGTAAAATGTTTCACACACGCTCTATTTTTGCAGGCTGGACTCAAAGTAGTGAACATATCTTTCTCTGGAGGGAGTCTCACTGTCTTCAGAAGTCCCCAGTTACACCACAAGAAGCCACTAGATTTATTGCTCATCACTTTTGTTTTGAATAGTCCCTAGTTGGGAGAGAAGTCACTCAAGATTTGAAGCCTTTAAGTCTAGTGGACAAAGTCATGATATTGGCAACGATGAGTAGCCGCTCACTTTGTTGCCTGCACTAGCTCTGCCCCATCACCGTGGTAGTGAAAGCTATAATCGGCATTTGTATGAGCATAACTGTCCCTCAAAATGCTGTGATTTGAACAACAAGGTCGCAGGGTATTAAGTGTATTTTAATTTCGCTGGTGATATCATTGTGTGGAAGAAACCCATCACATAGGATAGTTGGATAAACATACACGAGAAAGCAGGGGAAAAAAAGACACTGATGAAAACAAATCCCCATACAGGTGCAACGGAAATAAATACCGTAAGAAAGGAAATTGATTTCAGTCGGTCAATGTTATTCAACTGAACTAAATAAATTTATCACTCCGCGAGTGGATAGTGGGGTGTACTGTGTATGGTAAAATGTTTCACACACGCTCTATTTTTGCAGGCTGGACTCAAAGTAGTGAACATATCTTTCTCTGGAGGGAGTCTCACTGTCTTCAGAAGTCCCCAGTTACACCACAAGAAGCCACTAGATTTATTGCTCATACCTCAACTACTTTACCTTTAAGTGCTGATCATTTTTAATGTACATTTATTTCAATTTCATGTTCCTCTGTCTGGTTAGATTGTGAGCTGAGCTGACGTAATTTTTTTATTTTATGGGTGTAGCAAGTGTATTTTTTTTATCATTTTATTTTTTAAAATGTTCTTTATGTTTTGGTTTTTGGAAGACCTTTTTAATCAAATTGAAGGCATCAAATTTACTGGTAGTAGCGTTTAACAATGCAAAGTACCTACTTTAGCCACACTCAACAAAATGAAACATTGACTTTTTTTTAATCAACTTTTATCTTCCAAGTGTCACTTATGAGAGGCAGTTTTAAGGATCAAATGTGAGTTTTCAGGAAAATTGGGGTCAAAATGTTTATCCCGAACACTTACTTTGGTCTTGGTGAGTTTTCAGGAAAATTGGGGTCAAAATGTTTATCCCGAACACTTACTTTGGTCTTGGTGCTGAGAGGCTGAGATTTCACTTTCTCGTCTTTGTTTTTGGAAATCCTCAGGAACTGCTTTAAATCTCCCTGGTTTGACAAAAGCGAGAATACGTTTAAACACAAGTGAAGCAGAAAGTCCTCCTGGACCATCGACTAGTTTCTTTTAGTTAAGCGTACCAGGTCGTAGTACTCCAGAACCATGTAGTGGGGCTCGGCCTCTCTGCACAGACCCAGCAGGCGGACCACGTTGGGGTGGCTGAGCTTGCCGAACATTTCCGCTTCCCGCCGGAAGTCGAGCTGAAGCTGCTCGTCTCGAGTCTGGAGGCTCTTCACCAGCACCACCGTTTCCTCCTCCCTCTCGTCGATGCCCTTGGCTTTGGACAGCAGCACCTCGCCAAACTCTCCTTTGCCTGCATCGCACGTCACAGTGTGCTAACCGCAGCAACAGCAGCTTGCTTTCTTCACTGTTTGCATCCAGCAAGTGAACTTAAGTTACCTAAGGTAGTGATCGTCTGCAGGTTTGCTCGGGGGAAGTGCAGCTTGTCGCTGTTAACGTGGCTGTGGCGCTTCTCGGTTGTTGCCATGGTACCCATGTTGGTGAGTGCCACCTCTTCTTGGATCTCAGTGGTGGTGTGGCCATTTTGTTGAACAGCCCCTCCTTGACAGACGCAACACATTATGGCTATGACAATTTCAAAACGTTTTCGAAAAAATGTGGGAACTCTGATGAGTGCAGTCATGCAATATGAAGAAGTTTGCATTATAGATATGCATACTGTATGTACAGTATAAGTAAGAACAATGGGAGAGTGTAGCATACAAGTAACATCAAAGCATGGACATTTGTCACCTACAGGGATCAATGACGTTACTGCTTCAGGCCCAAATTTCTCAAGGGGACACAATGTAATGAGATCCTTCTTAAGCAACACAAATTACAACTTGATCTAATATGGTTTCACATATGAAAGGGAAGCTTTTCATGTTTAGTTTTAATTGCTGTCAAGAGCGAAACCTGGGTCAAAGCTGTGGTTTACAAATACAGCTTCATCTGAACAGTTTATCCTCAACATGTTTCGATGGTAATGAATATGTTACAATTAACTTATTAATTTTTTTTTTAGGAGAAGTGGTTTGGAAAATGAATGGATGGACATTCTATTCTTTGATTTTTGACAATAATATCATTGTGTGGAAGAAACCCATCACATAGGATAGTTGGATAAACATACACGAGAAAGCAGGGGAAAAAAAGACACTGATGAAAACAAATCCCCATACAGGTGCAACGGAAATAAATACCGTAAGAAAGGAAATTGATTTCAGTCGGTCAATGTTATTCAACTGAACTAAATAAATTTATCACTCCATAAAATTGTAATTGATTGAACTTCATCAGTGTATTATTACTCCAATAGACTTCATATTTTCTTTTCACTGGAGTTCACCGAATGAACACAAGATGGCGGCAAACACTTTCACGTCTCAAATCTGAAGAAAATGAAGAGGAGGAAATTCAGAAATTGCCAAACATCTGTATGCCTGCACCCCAAGAAATCTATTATGCTTTGAAAATGTGAAAGAGTAGCACTTTTACCTTATTCTCTGAGGAAAGAGAGTAATGTATACAGCAAATTCCAACAACAAAAGCCAAATCTAAGTTTGCATTTTCCAGTGCAATGCTTTATACCCCTGTTTGAGAAGGCCTGGCGTAATAAAACAACAAAGGTCGAAACATTTGTCTCTATCATAGAGGCATACCATTGAGGCACTCCATCTCTGGCTCCTCTCCATCTGGACGTTTGTGCTGCCTTTTGGCGTTGCGCCTCTTTTTGCAGTAGAACATGAGGCCGAGCACCACGATGATGTATGCCACAGCCGCCCCAACAGACAGGCCGATAGTTTGAATCATCTTGTAGGGCGCTCTGTCCTCGTCCTCGTCATGCGTCTGGGCAGGTTTATCTGTGGGGTGCAGACATCAATAATAAATAAATGAAGTCCCAGAGTAGCCAATCTCCGTTAATTTTATGTGAGCAAAATATCTAAATCCATTTGTCTCTTAAGAATCTATACTGGAGCATTATCCTCTTATCTGGTGGAAATTGGGAGTGGGAAGTGTGACTGTATTTGCGTTTCTCTAACAGACAATTTTAATGAAAGAGTGACTGTATATTGAAGCTTCAGACAACATACAAGAGACAAAACGGTATTAGATCTACCTGCCCAGTTCCATCACCCCACTGACAGCTGTAGTGGAACACAAGTAGCCATGATGTTTAACCTGCCAAGGTGGTTGGCAGGAGGAGTATTTGGAAGGCTTACTGAGTTGTCCCTTGTGTCCACTGTGTTCGTGTGTGCGCGCGTGTGTGTGTGTGTGTGTGT